TTGTAATACTCGATCGAATTGGAATGAGATCATTACTGACCATTCCAATATTTTTATTGTGCTTTTGTAGTTTTTCTCGTAATGCTTGTTTTAATTGGAATGAAGTCATTATTTACCGTTCCAATATTTTTATTGTGCTTTTGTGGTTTTGCTCGTTGCTCGATCTAATTGGGATGGGGTCATTATTAACCGTTCCAATATTTTTATTGTGCTTTTGTGGTTTTTGCTTGTAATGCTCGATCGAATTGGAATAGGGTCATTACTGACCGTTCCAATATTTTCATTGTGCTTTTGTAGTTTTTTCTCGTAATGCTCGTTTTAATTAGGATGGGGTCATTATTGACTGTTCTAATATTTTCATTGTGCTTTTGTGGTTTTGCTCGTTGCTTGATCTAATTGGAATGGGGTCATTATTAACCATTCCAATGTTTTTGCTCATATTTATTGCTTTTATTTTATTCAAGGTATATGTTAATGTTTTAATCTATATAATGCTCGTACAAATTTTTTACAAAAGCTCGATATAATTATGAGATGGGTCATTATTGACCGCTACACATTTTTGCTTATACTAATTTTTCGTTGTTCACCTTTTTGTGGGGATGGATTATGCTCTTATATGATGAAAGCTAGATTCTAATAAGAGTTTTATTTCTCGTATGATGATATTGCTTCTGATGAGAGATTAATATTATTTGGTAGCAGTTTTGAATGCAGAAATGCATACTTAACAAAGGGTACGCTGAAGGAAAACTTACTTATTTTATTTTTATGTAATTCATTGGCAAAAAAAATAAACTCTTAATGTTATGAAGAAATAGATGTTTTTGATTTCGTGTATATCGTATTTGTTCTCATATAAAGATTTGCTATTTTACTGTAATATTTGCATAATTGTTCTTAATGAAAAATAAATTCAAGTTATTATCACTATTAAAGACTTGTGTATTACATTTTACAATCTGAGTTTAGGCCATATAAAGTTTTGTTTCTCATAACCCGGTCGGGTCAGATTTTATAAATTTTCGATACAAAATTTTATAAGTTATTTCTGGTGGATTTTTAATAAAAATCTTTATACTTTTTTAATATTTTCTAGATAATAAAAAACATAAATTTTTATGATTTAAAGATCAATAATCGGGCGGGCAGGTCACTTTTAGAATTTTATATTATGAAAAACAATTATTTTATTATGTATGTTCTTATATGACAAATAATTTTACCAATTTATACATTTTTTTTTTCTAAAAACTGAATTTTATTTAGAAATAATTGTGGGAGATTATGCTGAAAATTTTTTTTATTTTATTTATTATAAAATGTAAAATTTCAAGTAAGTAGTATTTATTATAAAAAAGTATATATGAATTTTAGCAGCTTTATAGATTTAAAAGGAGACCCCATAATCACCCACAATAATTTTGAACTTTATCATAATTTCTGAAATTTAGGATAGTACATTTTGTTTTTTGTTTTTTTTGTGTGAATACAATCTAAAAATGAAGAAATTTCATTCTGATAATATTTCTTATAAATTGTTATTCAGAGATTCTTCGATAATATTACTTTTAGAAGTTGATTCTTGATAATAATTTTCAGAAGTAGATTGATCGTAAAATGAATATGAGCGATAAAATGAAGGTTCTGAATTAATGATATTTTCAGTATCGTCAATTTCATGTATTCTTGGTTCAGAATGATCATTTGCTTCTTCGAAATTTGAATAACAAATTACAGCAGGCAATTTATTAGTTGCTGCGAAATTTTGAAAGCCAGGAATTTCGTTTGTGCATAATATACTGTTTAATTTATTAACGTCTTTAAGAAAAAACCATATTAGTTTGAAAAAAAAAAAGGTTAAATAATTTAATAAACAAATTACCTAAGTTATCAATTTGATCATAGATATCTTGAATCGCTTCTTTATAATTATGAATTTCATTCTTATATACATTTTCACTTCTAGTAGCTACTTCAACTGAATGTTTAACAGCTGCTTTATATTGTTCCTTTTCAATTTGTAAATTTTTATTTTCGCTAAATAGCCTTTCATTTTCAGTTTTTAAAAGTCCATGTTCAGTTTTTAAAAATTTGTTTCTTTTTTCAAGTCTTAAATATTGACTAATCAATCCTTTTACTTTAATTTTCAAATTGTTGAGGGTATTAATAGTTTTGTTAAATTCTTTTTCTGATAAATCACCTCGATCACGTCTACATTTGTGAAATTCGTTTATACTCTTTATATAATCCGTAAACGCATCTCATATCTGTCCCGGGGTTGAGGTTTGCGAACAAAGGACTTTATCTAATCTACTTGCTTTTGCGTTTTTTCGAGGCATTTATTCTTTACGTTCTTTAATTAATTTTCTAAATGTGTTTTAATTAATTAAAAAAATTTTTTTGTCAGTTCGAACCACTTGAATAATTCACTCGTTACTTTGTTACTTTATATATTATTAAAACCAGAATTGAACTTAAAATAGAGTAATTTTTATATTAATGTTAACATTCGAATTATTCAGATTTTTTATAACGATAATAATTTATATGATTTATTATTAACAGATATCCGGATCACATCTCTACTCCGGACAATAATTAAATGTGACAATTAAATATCACCTATTTTCTATTTTTAATCTTCGTCCACATTACAAGTAGATATTTTCAGAGTTGGTCAAATCACTAATCGACCAAAAATTCGTTGGTAAAATTGGCTTGGTTAATAATGACCCCATTCCAATTAGATTAAGCAATAAGCAAAACCACAAAAGCACAATGAAAATATTAAAACGGTCAATAATGACCCCATCCCAATTAAAATGAGCATTACGAGAAAAAACTACAAAAGCACAATGAAAATATTGGAATGGTCAGTAATGACCCCATTCCAATTCGATCGAGCATTACAAGCAAAAACCACAAAAGCACAATAAAAATATTGGAACGGTCAATAATGACCCCATCCCAATTAGATCGAGCAATGAGCAAAACCACAAAAGCACAATAAAAATATTGGAACGGTCAATAATGACTTCATCCCAATTAAAACAAGCATTACAAGAAAAACTACAAAAGCACAATAAAAATATTGGAATGGTCAGTAATGATCTCATTCCAATTCGATCGAGTATTACAA